ACCGGAGTCGCATGTCGCCCCTGGCATGCTTTGTGAATCAGGGGACACAGCAAGTAGGCTCATAGACAACTAAAGATCACTGCCACAACTACAATTACTTTTATAACTGCTTTTAACCCAAATCCAGGTACGAGTTAGTAAGCCCCCAGCGCCCTTGAGCAAAGATGACAGGCCATGCACATGAAACGGCTGTCGAATTGCATGCACGGCCCGGGCCTCCAGTGACATTCTCCTGTGACAAAAGACTCATAGGACACATTTCTCAAGTCTACCTGGCCTTGAGACTGTGATTGGGATATAGAGGTTTGTTCTTGAACCCTCTTCTCCAGCAGCTCTCCGCGTCCGGAATTCCGAGTAGGGGGATATAGGCTAGGGTTTAGGGTGTAGGATTTCGTAACCCACAATCTGTACTGGAAACCCTGTCTGTGTCCTACTCACCAGCATGCGAATCCAAGTCCTGCGCCGATCCGGCAAGTGTACTGGAGGATGAGGTGCTGGTACCCGTGGTGAGACTGCTTGTTGAAGAGGTGGTTCCTGTCGAAGTGCTCCTGGTAGTTGTCTCCGACACCGTGACTGTGTGGCTGGTTGAGCTGAGGGAGACTGTGGTACTCTCGCTACTGGTGGCCGAAGTCGTAGTGGTCTGCGTCACTGTCGCAGTCATACTCGTGGTCGTGCGGCTGCTTGAGCTGCTTGAGCTGGTAGAGACTGTGGCAGTCGCGCTGCTGGTAGTCGTAGTGGTCTCTGTCACGGTCGTCTTGATACTGATGGTGGTAGTCGTAGAAACTGTAGCACTCGTGCTGCTGGTGATTGTAACGGTGTCTGTTGCTGTTACAGATGCAGTGCTGGTGGTTTCGCTGCTGGTGACAGTGAAGGTTGTGCTCGTGGAAACTGTGGCAGTCGTGCTGGTGCTGCTTATGCTAGTTGACGTGACAACCCCCTGGAGGACAACGGAAGGCAGGTAGTTTCCCATCTCACTGCTGTCGTCCCCACGATTGGCCGTGTCACCCAAACCCAACTGGCCATCTGAATTGTAGCCCCAACACTTGATGGTAGCATCATCCAGCCCTGCGCAGGTATGATAGAGCCCTACGCTCAAAGTCATGACGACTGCTCCGGAACCTAAATCAAGGCTGGGCAAGTTGTCCCCCATGGAGTTTGAGAGGTATCCCCTTGTAGAGCCATCTCCCGCGCCCAGTTGCCCATAGGCATTGTAGCCCCAACACTTCAACTCAAAGTTATCCAGAAGCGCACAGGTGTGCTCGCCGCCGGCATCCAGCCAGATAGCACTCCGCCCAGATCCTAAATCCACCGCGGGTAGATTGTCCCCCATCTGTCCAGCTGCATCGCCTCTGTTGGTATTGTCTTCAAGGCCAAGATTGCCCAACCTTGGGAATCAAAACTTCAGGACTCAGACTCAGAAGGGCTAAGGTTCATGCTCTACTGGGATTCGGTGATCGGTCTAAGCTAGTATCCGTTGGACAAAGCGTTTCAGGAATGCAGATCCGGGGACCCATTCTTGCCCCAGCACTTGGCCGTGCCGTCGTCCAAAAGAGCACAGGTGTGAGAGTCGCCGGCCACGATCTGCAAGACGCTGCGCCCGGTCCCGACATCCACCACGGGCAGGTGGTCTCCCAACTCCTCGGCCTTGTGTCCCCGTCCATGGGTGCTTTCATACCCGAGTTGGCCCTCCGAGGCGGATCCCCAACATTTCACGGAGAAGTCGTCCAACAAGGCACAGGTATGCAGATCTCCAACTGCCAAACTTTGCACCGAACGCCCTGTGCCCACGTCCACACTGGGCAGCTCATCGCCCATCTGGCCGGTGGCATCGCCACGGTTGGTGGTGTCACCCACCCCCAGCTGGCCATAATCGTTGCGACCCCAGCATTTGGTCGCGTTGTCAAAAAGCCGTGCACAGGTATGAAAAGCACCAGCTGCTACTTCGAGCACCGAATTCCCACTGCCGAGATCCACCGGGGGGAGGACGTCACCCAGTTCACCTGCTTGGTTACCTCGGGCAGACTGGTCGCCCACACCCAGCTGGCCATAAGTGTTCAAACCCCAGCACTTCACGGTGAGATCGTCAAGGATGGCACATGTGTGCGTGCCACCGGCCACCACATTCACGGCCAGCTTCAACCCCAAATCCACTGTTGGCAATGCATCACCCATTTCGGTGGCTGTGTCCCCACGGTCACTATTGTCGCCCAAACCCAACTGACCTGAACCATTGCTTCCCCAGCACTTCACTGTGCCGAGCGAAATGGCACAAACATGCCGTCCGGCAGACTGAGACAGCCATGTTGGCACAAATGCAGATGAAAGCACGAGGAAATGACAAGCGACCAAGGCGAACAACATCGCGCTCGAACCACAAGCTTCAGCTGCACACACAAGGGTTCAGAACAGCTCATGCGACTTTACTAACCAAAAACAGCTTGTCTGAACAGCTCATACTGGCTTGCTCTGCGGATGCGTGCCGAGAAGTTCATGTTTTGACTCTGCTGGCATCTGCCCTTGTAAGTTGCTTTTGCATCACTACATGGGGGGGTTTCGCAAAATCGGGGGGACCTCAGGGACTTAAAGAGACCATCAGTGGAACATCAAGTCCTGATTGGGGCCATACGGGAATCCTTTTGAGACACACCCCACATCTGGGTGATGGCATAGCGCCCTGTCCATTGGACAGCAGACAGTCATCTTCGACAACCTGGTCTCCCAGTTCCACGACAAGCGCTCCAAAACTGCTACAACTCCGCATGATCCTTTGTACAAAGGCCATCCTTTTCAAATAACTTTGTGCGTAGCTTCAAAACTCTTCCTAGAGAAAGCCCAAGGCCTTGAAGATCAGATTTCTCCGCGTGACAGATGGTTTGGGTGTCAAGCTGTGCGGCCATCAGCGTGTCGACGACCTGAACGAGATGTCACGTTTCGGACTTAGGGTTTGCGAGTGAATGCTTAGGGTTTGGGGCTTTGGCTTGTTTTTTTTCTGGCCAGCTGAAAGTAAACATGAACTTTCCTTGTGATGAAATGCCACAACGTGATTGCACGCTTGTGTTTCTGCTTGACATATCTAGCGGTTCTCTCGTACAAGTGCGCACTGAGCTGTTTGGAAAAGCAAGGCAGGGCCACCTCCTCTTCGAACTCATTGGCAAGAAGCCAAGCTCGCAAGTCCTCCTCTTCTCTGTTGATCATGCGGAAAACTTTCTGATCTGCCTCAGCTTGTGTAAATTAAAAACAGTGTCTTCCTTTCATGAACATTTGACATTCAAAGACTGACCTTGCACCCAGCCCTTTAAGTGGCGAGGGGCAAAATCAATCGCCTGATGGCAGAATAACCAGTCGATGGTGCCGCCAGCAACTGCTCCCACCGTAGAACCCATCACTGGGATGATCTTGGAAAGTGACAGCAAGCCTCTTGCAACAGGAGGGTCATTGTAGCTGCACCACCACGTGACATGTCGAACAACGACGTGTGCAAACCGTCCGAGAAGTCTTATGTGACATCTTCACGAACTATATAGCGCTGGGAATTGCCTGCTGGCGATGGCACTACAACATGTACGTTGTCTCCGATTTGAACAGCTGACAAATTTTGATGTACTCAAATCCGACCAAGGTCCATCAACGAGGTTCATTTACATCATTAGCGAGCCCCCTGGCATCTTCCGCACAGTGGGATGCTATACCAGTCACGCACCAAGAACTTGTACAGCACTCACATTCGCAACCCAACAGAAACCGTGGTTCATGTTACGGGTATCCCGAAAAGGACCCGCAGTACATGATCATATATATATATATATACATATACATATATATACATATACACTCACCAGTATTCAGAAGATCAGATGCCCTGGATACACTGACCAAAACAAAAATCCTAGTTCACCTGCAAATTCTTGTCAACGGATCTGTCCGCCTTGTGGGCCCTTCGTGACCAAATGCCGGCCAATGAGAGGCCACATTTTCCTAGCCAAGAGAAGCAAAAAAAAACAACTTGTGCACCAGCAGAGTCGAACACCACGCTGCGCTTGAAAGCATAATTGGCTTATTGCCCCAGTGGCGTCGCAGTAAGAAACCCACAATTTCATGGCAGGCGCTTGGCACCTAACCCAGGAACAATGCAGAAAACAATGCTAAAGCTACTACGTCCTTTTGCCAGGCTTCTTGTTCACTTCTTTGAAGAACTGGTTCGGGACTTTGCTCAACACTGTTTTCCCAGCTGCAGTTCCGCCAGTCTTTGCTGCTGCTTGAACGACCCCCTTGATGACTTCCGACGCACCTTCACCGCCCAGAGCCCACCTGGTGCGGCGTTCAGTTTGAAACGCCAAAGCCGAAACGATGATCTAAAGTGTTCAAGGCTTAGGGTTAGAGCTTAGGCTGTAGAGTTTAGGGTCAGGATGCAGAATTCGATTAAGCTTAGCATAGGTGATTGTTGTGGTTCTCGTCTTGACGATGCCAAAATGCGAGGAACCGCTGTGAACATGTGAGAGAATTGTCCATTGGTTCCTCTTCTGGCCAGGGTCGTGGTACTTTTTGATCCTGATTTGATTTGCGTTATGTTCTCATGTCTTTCACATACTTGCAGTTCTGCAACCCATTTCGGGTTAGAAAGCCTCGGATATACATACATATACATGTAAATAATTAACTACGTAATCATACATGCAATATATCTTCCCTACACATGAAAGCATGCAAGCATGCATGCATACATACATACATACATAATGCATACATAAATACAAACAAGCAAACAAACAAACAAACATACATACATACATACGTACATACATACATGCATACCTATGTGCATACATACATACATACATACATCCATGCATACACACATACATGCATACATACATACGTACATACTGGCATACATACATACATACACACATACATGCATACCGACATGCATACATACATACGTCCATGCATATATACATGCAAACATGGATGCATACATACATACATACATGCATACATACATGCATATACATACAAATAAATAAATAAACAAATAAATAAATAAATATATATATATACGTCCATACATGCATACATACATACATAAATACATACATACAAACATACGTACATACATACGTACAAACATACATACATACATACACACCTACATGCATACATACATACATACATACGCACATACTTGCATACATGCATACATATGTACATACATACATACATACATGCATACATACCTACATGCATCCATACATACATACATACATACATACACACATACACACATACACACATACCTACATGCATACATACATACATACGTACATACTTTCATTCATACATACATACATACATGCATACCCACATGCATACATACATACATCCATGCATACATACATGCATACATGCATACATACGTACATACATACATACATATATATATATACATACATACATACGTACAGACTTGCATACATACTTACATACATGCATACATGCATACATGCATACATGCATACATACATACGTGCATACGTGCATACATGCATACATACAGACATATATGCATGTATACATACATACATCCATGCCTGCATACATACATACATGCATACAAACATACATACATCCTACATACATACATACATACATACATAAAGACGTACATACACACACATACATGCATACATGCATGCATGCATGCGTGCATGCATACATACATACATACATGCGCACACACATACATACACATATATATATATATATACACATACATATATGTGTGTATATACATATATACACGTATGTACGTGCGTGCGTGCGTGCGTGCATGCGTGCGTGCGGTACGCACGTACGTAGGTATGTGTGAATGTATGCATGCATGCATGCATGTGTGTGTGTATGGATATATATATATATTAAGAATGCATGCGAATTATGAGATCCAAGTCATGGCATTGGGAACCCTTGAATTCTACATTCTGGGAGAGCTCGATTCCAGTTGGAGAATAGACTAACTGCCCCCTAATACCAAAGACTGGTTTAGGGTTTAGGGTTAAGGTTTTAGGTTTAGGGTTTAGAGGCCATAGTAAAACCCTTGCCCCCTAATATCAAACCTTCCTGTTGAAGTATATAACTATGGTGTATGGCGAGTGGTGAATATTACGAGGGGTGATACGTTTATCATGAGAGGGAAGGATGAGTTGCATGTAGCCGACCACCCTTGTTGGGGATGTCCTTAGGGCGGAATGATTGGTGTCTACCTGGAAAGAACTGTGCTCATCAATATGAAAGCAAAGGCAGAAAGCAGCTAGCAGCAACCAGCAGCAAGCCCAAAGCATGAAAAAAGGAAGCAACAAGCGGGAAAGGAGGCTGCAGCAATGAAGGATAACCAGAAAGCTGAGGCCAACCAGCAAATCAAACAAAACAAATCTAAACTGTCTGGCAAGCGTACATCCAGGCACACCCCCAAGCTGAATTGCACCGCGGTAACACTGAGCGCCGACGAGGCGCAGGATCAAACTTTGGGTTCTCTCGTCTTGCACGTCGTATCCACGTAGTTTGGCAACGATGCAGGCTCCCTGTGCCTTGGCTATCACACAGGGTGCGGACTAAAATCAGGATTCACGGGGGGCCCACAGGGAACAAATAATATATGGGGACTATACGGGGCGCCTGCAAGATAATGCACGACAACGTTAAGAGCTTTAGTCCAGATATAGCATAGGTGCGAGCGACAAAACTGAACTCGAAAAGCTTGCACCACCAATGCTAGCACAGACACTTGCAACAAGAATCCGGCACCTACACTGCCAACAGCATCCAACCCAGGAACGGGAATGGCCCCGCTCATTGCTCCAGTGAGAGCGTTCCATCTACACTTGTCGGCTTTTGCTGTCGCCACAAGCTCATGGCGAGTCTTTGTCAGATCTTGGTTATTATTGTACCACCGTTCACCTATACTGGCCCTGGAAGCCTAGTAAAAGTAATCCTGTTTCTTAGGGTTACATACTAGCCAGAAAACTCAAAAATGCTTCCAAGAACCCCTAAGTCACATGGTGCGATGATGCGGTCTTGTTTATTGGATTCCCACAGCTCCCTCAGCTTCTCAACCAGCTGCTCGACCCACCCCCCCTCTGTAGATGTAGAGGAGTTGGTAAAGTTGTAGAGACTTTCAACGGTGGAGTTGTAAAGACTTTCAAAGGTGGCGTCGAACTTCCAATCTGCAAAGACTTGTTGAACCACGGTCATGAGATTGCCCCAATCGTAAGATGAAGTCCGCGACGAACTTTCTCCAGAAGTCTTGGGCTTCGAAGCCTTTTTTCTTTTGGCGGCTTTAGCATCCACGCCGTGACAAAGGACAAACATCAATAGCAGTATTCTCAAAATTGCAGCCATGGCTAGTTGGAAGATGCACAGCTCCTGCACTGATTCGCAAAGACTTGCGCGATGGAAACGCTGGGGGAAAGCTACGCTTACGCGGTTTGTTGCGTATGCTGCTGGATTCGTTGCCCATTTCACATCTCTGCAAGTAATGCGTCTGCGAACACCAGAAGAATCATAATGATGCTACACTCAGTTCTGATGCACTTCATTTTGTTCTGCTCCTTATAATCCTCATGTAAACTTTGGAAGCGGCAGCCACGGAATAGGCGGAGCAAGGAAATGCTGGTGCTTCGCGTTTGGGGCAGGGCAGCTCAACCAAAGACAGGGGAGTACAAAATACCATACCCAAAGGGAGGATATGGTATTGCTCTCTATTGGGTACCATAGGGTAGGTTCCTGGAAGCCTGCCACAAGAACTCTTTATACAAGCAAACCCCGGGGATTCTCAGGTGTTCCTGGTCAGTTCGGCCCAGGGTTCAGGGTTGAAGATTGAAGGTTTCAGTCAGGGTTGAAGGGTTTACTTTAAGGTTTTTGTGGCGGACTTTTGCGTCTGTCGAACCCGGGAACTCCAACCCAACCCCGGTCTGCAGGGGTTGAGGTTAACTCGAACCCTAACCCCGGCCCTCGCAGGTTGGAGTTGAACCTGAACCTCAACACACAAGAA